GCAGGTTAGTGAAGTGTAACGCCAAAACACATTTGAGCATGCAGATTCAGGATGCAGTGCAGAGACAGTGTGCAAACAGCACAGAAAAGGGTGCTGCCTGGTAACCATGATTCAGGAAGCAGCAAAGAACAGGAGAAACACTCAAGATTTTATTCCTACCTGGGTTCCAAAGCTTGCAGTCCTCTTATTAGGTTAAGCATAATCTTTGTACCAGATGATCACTGCTCGTTCCTTTGTCCTTCTTGGAAAGAAGTGGCTGATGACTTACCCAACAGCCAAATGGCTTAACACTTGCTTCCCGCTTGAAGCACCTGGCTATGTCCAGGCAGCAGCATGTATGAGATCATTCTCCACCTCCTCTTCTCTTAACACTGTACAGAAAAGCATACAAGCTGAGGGCAGAAGGCACAAAATATGAGGTAGCTATTTGCTTAGAGAGCTTGGATGGTGAGAGAGTGTACACGAGATTATTTTTCTCAGTGACAGTTTTGGGGTTTATTAGGAAAAATTATAGACACCTGTGAGTACTTTATTGTTTGCTGTATGCTGCATTATGCTGGATGTTACTGGCTTGAGAAATGCAGGGTAGCACAATCTTTTTGACTAAATAACAATGCAGAACACTGTTCCTATTCCTTTTCTTTGATTTCTGCTGTTCAGAAGGTGAATTTGTGATAAAGCAGTATTATCTGAAACTTTGATTCTTTCCCTTAGAACATTTGCAGTTGTGTTTTTTTCTCTTTACAGATTTTATGATACATCATCTGAGGCTCTGTTGAACTTCATATTTAATAGTGTAAAGTTGTGTGGTGTAAACATGTTTGAAGAGCATAAACTTTACCTAAGTGAGGAAAAACTGTTGTGTATACTTAAAGTTAGTGATTAATATGTCAGTTCAAATCAGATGGCTGTGTGCCCTTTGCACTCAGCAGAGGCAGATAGGTGCTTCATGAGAGTGATTCACCTCTTCCTGACATGGACATATGTATAAAGATAATCTGAAGTATATCCTAAATTGCCTTCTAAATCCACAGAAGCTCTATGGTATCCACAGCATCATGTAGCATGTATTTTCACAATTAATTGTGAAATAATAATTTCCAGCTCTGGACACCTCAGTTTGAGAAACATGGAGAAGCTGGAGAGAGTCTAGTGAAGGGCTATAAGAGGATGAAGAGTGGAGCATCTCTCCCTTGAGGAAAGGCTGAGAGTGGTAGAACAGTTCAGTCTGAAGAAGAGAAGGCTCAGGGGAATCTTACCAATGTATATAAATACCTGTAGGGAGAGTGCAAAGAGGAGCGGGGACAGGCTCTTTTCAGTGGTGCTTGGTGACAGGATCAGAGGCAGTGGGCACAAACTGAAACACATGAGGGTCCCTCTGAACACTAGGAGACATTTTTTTCCACTGTGAAGGTGACTGAGCACTGGTTTGCCCACAGAGGTTGTGAAGTCTCCATTCTTTGAGATACTCAAAAGTGATGTGGACATGGTTCTGGGTAGCTGACTCTAGGTGGCCCTTCTTGAGCAGAGTTTGAACAAGATGGCCTCCAGAGAGAGATCTCTCTCAGCCTCAACCACGCTGTGATTCTGTGGTTCCTTTGACTTTTCTTGTATTCCAAGAGATGAAACCATTCACATTTGCTGTGCCACTAATAATTTTCTAGACCTCTATGATACCTTTTTTCAGTCACTTTTGAATGGAGATCAGGTGGAGCAGAACTGAACATAGTACTGAAGATAAGAGGTGCCATGGATGTGTATTGTAGTAGGTAGTGTATATAAATATGCAGTCTGTGTAGATAGCTCCTGCTTTACTCTGTTTCTTTGCTAACAATTCTGAATGCTTGGCTGATATTTTCATAGAGCAGACCACTGAAACCTGAAGATCTGTTTTTCTTCTGGGTGGTAATTGTTAGTTGAGCATCTCTTACTGTGCAGATAATTTTTTTTTTCTATACATGCATAGTTTTAATTTTAGAAACACTGAATTTAATCTGGCAGTCTATTAGGTTGTCGCTGACTGTCATAAGATCTCTCAGTTCCTCTTTATAGCTGACCTTTGTTTTTATTAAATTGCTCTGAGAAACAGTTCATGTTCATCATCAGCAAATGTTATGGTTTCACATTTGCCTCTTTTTCCCCATTGAAGAGCTTAAACCCCATTATGGATTTTCTTTGTAGGATCATTCTGGTGACTTTTCTTCACTGCAAAACTAACTGCTCCTTCTTTAATTTCCTATTTGAAACTGATTATTGTCTGTGAGAGGGCTTTGCATTTATCTAATAGCAGATTGGTTTATTTTAGAACTTTGGTGGCGAGACCTTGTCCAAACAATCAGAAATGCAAAAGTTACCTTTGCTGGCTTATTGCTTACAGAGCTCTAAAAAATACTGCCCTGGAGATCTAATTTCCTCTCCTCCATGATTTTAAATCCAGAGTTATTTGTTGATTTTATTCTCTTTTACAGTCCCTGCAGAACACTACAGCTTCCTTCCCTCTTCAGTGTTCTTGGCTTGTGGGGTCATAAACCTCAGTGGAACTTTGGGTAAGATTTTCATGTTCATTGCTAAAAATCTTTGCTTATTTATCCTGGAAAACTGTGTTAACCTTTCCACTGTTGGTGACATATTTTAGTCTAACAAATATGTTAAAGACGACTAGTAAAGGAAAGATTTATAAAGAACAAAGAATATTTTTGGCTACTATATATGCTTTAGCCTGTAATTAATGTCAAGGCTTTCTCTAGGAGATTTACTGTAAAATAAAAATTAAAGGAAGAGAATGAAGAGAAAAGGAAAATCAATAACAAGTTAAGAGTTTGGCATTTTTGCAAAATGCCAGTGTACATAGCTTAGAATACTCTTGCTGAGTTTAGCAATCTTTGAAATATATAATAGGATAAAATAGAAAACTATGACATTCCCTCCCAATGAAGCAGAAAGACATCTAGAAAGTGGAATTTCTATGACTCAACAAAATTAGGATATCTATAATAATATCCCTTCATTATAGCATTGAAAATGAAAGGACATAGAGAGGTTAATAATATCTCTTTAAAAAGTGCTGAAAGTGATCTGGCCCTGGAAATCATCTACCTATATTGAACTTGCAGATAGGAATGGAATAGCTTTGCTATGGAATCAGAGGAGCAGGTCATAGTGCTGTTGTTCCTTGTTGAGTCCTTGGCAGCAGCCTGAGCAGGCTTGCATTTGGATTGGTAGAAGTCCAAATTGGAGACACGGGTTAGAGTTTGTTGTCTTACAGTTCATTTCTTTGTTGGTGAAGTATTATCCAACTTTGGATCCTCCACAAAGTGTGTAGTTCATGTGTACATTTGTAAAAGCATTCCTTCCTCCCCTCATTTTTGCCTGGTGTTGTTATCAAAGAGAATCTGCATAGATACTGTGGGCAGGGTTTGTGTTACCAAACATAACCTTCTTGAGTTAGTAGCATGAGCTTGTCACCATGTGCAAAGCTGAAGGAGATAGGCTGCCCTCTGAAGATGCATGTATCCCTCTTCTAACTAAAAAAAGGAGAACAGTCTGAAGTGACTGTTTCAGTCCTCCAGAATGAATGAAGTGAATTCTGCTTTGTTTCTAGCTATGGTGATCTGTTTTGTAAAAGGGCATAGAATCCATCAGGTTTACAGCTTGATCAGATGCCAGAGTACTCTAAGAACTTTTAGTAGCCCAAGATAGAGGGGCGGGAACTCTATGAAGAACTAGCACTGCAAAGCTGAAGGAGGTAGGCTGCCCTCTGAAGATGCATGTATCCCTCTTCTGACTAAAAAAAGGAGAACAGTCTGAAGTGACTGTTTCAGTCCTCCAGAATGAATGAAGTGAATTCTGCTTTGTTTCTAGCTATGGTGATCTGTTTTGTAAAAGGGCATAGAATCCATCAGGTTTACAGCTTGATCAGATGCCAGAGTACTCTAAGAACTTTTAGTAGCCCAAGATAGAGGGGCGGGAACTCTATGAAGAACTAGCACTGAAAAGAGGAGACAACTCTCAGCTCCTTTGCATTTTTGTCTGTATCATGTATTGATGGGGAAGGGAGTTCAGTAGAATGTCTAACTATGAAATTACAGGGAGAAAGAGGGTGCACATAATTAATGTGAGATATCAAGATGAATTAACAAAGACATGTCTAGAGCAGTGAAGCAGGAAAGCTTGCTGCAGGGGGAAGGGTTATAAGGACTGAAGAAGAGTTAGTTTCCTGCACATTGGTATGAATCAATCACTAAATGAAACAAGTTTAGAAATACTTCAGTCCTGTGGACAAGTTATTTAATACTTGATAAGAGGTTAGGATGTTTTACATGTTTTTGGGGCACCTACTGCAAGTAACTATTGTGGAACCAAGGGTTCTGTATTATGTAGGATAACTCAGACATGTAGGCTTTTCAGTTCCTGGCAGATAGGCATATAGGTGACACTGATACTGTTTGAGCTATGTGGAAATGTTACTAAATTTTTCAGCTGTAGGCAGTTTAAAAACAAAATCATGAAGTTAGTTTAAAAATTATAAGATACCCATTTGATTTATTCACTGTAAATCAGAAAAGTTTATTTTCAAATACAAAAGTTTTCCAGTCCTGGCTATAGTAGAAAAAGGCTTGGTGAGTTGAGAGTATTGTACAGTCTTGTCAAGACTACATGAGCAGGATCTATTAGAAAAAGACCAAATATCACAAGACTCCTGTGACTGGTGCTTAAGTAAATTTTGTCAACCTGAAGCGTAAACATATACATGTTTACAGATCCTTTTGTCATTAAGGAAAGTGGAGCAATTGTTTGGTTCCCATTGCTTTCAGAGAGTCTTACTTTATTTTTTTAATGTCTGTCTTCTTTTTCAGATGGAAATACTGACATGAATTTAAGAACTTTGATGCTTTCAGACATTGAATTTTGATTTGTTAAATGACCAGGAATAAGATACTGCCCGAACGACAGGAAATGCCTTGTAGACCTTTGGTTGTGCTTTCATTTCTCCTGAAGCAATGGTTTTCTCAGCAATGTTGACGCTGGCCCACTCTGGGACCTCAAATGCTACTTTTATTGTTTATGAAAATGCCTACATGAATTTTACCACTCCCCAGTTCTTGCTTCGCAGTGGCACAACACAGCCATTGAGATACAGTTCAGGTGCCGTGCTCACCACTGAGAGAAGTACTGTTCTGGTAAACACTACAGCTGTCCTACCATCTCAAGAAGTTTTCAAGAGCTTGAGTTTGCCACTCCAGATCATTCTTTCTGTCGCTATGATATTTATCCTAGTGGTTTCTTTCCTTGGAAACTTTGTTGTCTGCCTCATGGTGTACCAGAAGGCAGCTATGAGATCTGCAATTAACATCCTCTTAGCAAGCCTGGCTTTTGCAGACATGCTGCTGGCAGTGCTGAACATGCCTTTTGCTCTGATAACAATCATTACCACTCAGTGGATTTTCGGGGATATATTTTGCAGAGTCTCTGCCATGTTCTTCTGGCTTTTTGTCATAGAGGGGGTAGCCATTCTTCTTATTATTAGTATCGACCGATTTCTTATCATAGTTCAGAGGCAAGATAAACTGAATCCTCACCGTGCAAAGATTCTCATTGTGATATCCTGGGCGGCATCCTTTGTTGTTGCTTTTCCGTTATCAGTAGGGAATCCTAATCTGCAGATACCCTCAAGAGCACCTCAGTGTGTTTTTGGCTACTCTACAAGCCCAGGTTACCGAGCCTACGTGATAGTTATCATGCTAATTTCTTTTTTTATTCCATTCCTGGTAATGCTGTATTCTTTTATGGGCATACTCAACACTGTCCGCCACAATGCAGTTCGTATCCATAGCCACCCTGATAGCATATGCCTCAGCCAGGCCAGCAAACTTGGTCTCATGAGCTTACAGAGACCTTTTCAGATGAATATTGATATGAGCTTTAAAACTCGTGCCTTCACAACCATCTTGATTTTGTTCCTTGTCTTCATAGTCTGTTGGGCGCCCTTCACCACTTACAGCCTTATTGCCACATTCAACAGCCACTTCTACTACAAGCACAACTTTTTTGAGATAAGCACTTGGCTCCTTTGGCTCTGCTACCTCAAGTCTGCACTGAACCCACTGATTTACTACTGGAGGATTAAGAAGTTTCACGATGCATGCTTGGACTTGATGCCCAAATACTTCAAGTTTCTGCCACAGCTTCCTGGCCATACAAGGCGGCGTATTCGACCCAGCGCCATCTATGTGTGTGGGGAACATCGGTCTGTAGTTTGAGGCTGTGGTTGTTTGACAGTGATTGTTGTTTTCTGGGATTATTTGTTGACTTAAGGTTGAATTTAGTTTTATTTAATATGGCTTCTTTAGTGTGGCCATACCTTAGAACTTGATAACATTTTCCAGTACTCTGTGCAATTTTGGGAGGAAAGATAGAGGGAGGGAAAGTGATTGGTTATAGTTGGGTTTACTACCCAGAATACAATGTAAACAAAATAACAAATGTTACCTCTAGGATTCCATGGAAATCCATTCTTTTAAACAAAAAACACATTTCTAATGTTTTGTCAGGTTTATGCTTACTAGGCCTGCAATTGCATCTAATTGTGGGGACTTTTTATGCTGCTAAGGTACAGTATATTTAGTTGGTGTAATTTTTCTGAAAAATGTTGCTGCTGTCTGCCAATATATTAGAGCCAAAAAGTCTCATTAGATGACTTCTATTTAATTGTAACAATATTTTGGAAGTTTTCATAGTGACACTAGAAAACTTTTCTTTTTTTTAATTTTTACATTAGTATTTTTGTGCACTTTACAAAATATAATGTAGAATTTGCTAATTGGAATAGTTCATTCTGTAACAAAGGGGTATCATTATTATTATTGTTATTATCATTATTATTATTATTCTTTGTAATATGAGTGAATTGCAGTGAAAAAACCCATATAAGGTCTAGGAGGACAGTTTATGTTGGTATAGTTACATGCTCAGTCATAGATTTGCTGTTTTTCTAACAACTGATCAAAACCTAACTCAGTTATCAGGGGAGTAGTTGGAAGGAGAAAATGAAAGAATGAAGGGAAAAAGAAGCAAAGAAAATACATGTCCTGAGGTTTAGGTTAATACAAGACTTAAAAAACTGGAGTTCATATGAAAGTCATCAGAGGGGGAAAGGGTGGCTGTAGTTGTTTACTTGAGGTTGTTGAAAGCTATCCAAACCTAATGAATGGTATGCCTGAAAACCTGTCTGAAATGGTGAGTTTGGGCCTACAATTTGCAGTGTGCTGGTACAATGCTGTTTCTGCTTGGAGCTCCTGTAGGGCTCGGTGTGCTCTACGCTGCTGAAATCCTGCTGGCAGGCCTTCATTGGAGTAAGATTAGGAATAGTAGGGTAAACCAGCAAACAAGTAACACATGAACCATAATGGAGGCTAGGACTTATTCTATATAGTAATGTGTGGGAAAAACATCCTCAACTTGCTTGTTTTCAGTTGAAGTATTAGCCTGAAACCATAAACTAATAATGAATAACAGTTGGCCTGCAGAGTTTCCCAGGGATGTAAGCTAAATTCCCCTTTCCTCTCCAATACTACTTTACACTGATTTGTCATTGCCCCTTTTCCTCTGTAGTGCCTGCTGCCTCAAGGGTTTTCTCTGCTGTTAGGCAGAAGCTTCCCTCCCTGAAATACCAAACCACTTTTCAGATTAATATCAGGCTGTCTTGGTACATGCTGGGAAAGCAGAAAGGCAAAGGTTTTCTTTGATGATAGTGATCCAGACTCAGTTATTTAATTTTATTTTTAATTGGCTAAATAAGTATTTAATGTGAGGTAAATGAAATTGAGACTCAGCCTTGGGCTTTAAAGTGAGATCATGAATTACTCTTGAGACTGGGGAGGAATTGCAGAGTACCTCACACAGGGACACGTCCAGGTGGGTTTTGAAAGTCTCCAGAGAAGGAGACTCCACAACCTCTCTGGGCAGCTTGTTCCAGTGCTTCTCACCCTCACAGTGAAAAAGTGTTTCCTTATGTTTATGTGGAACCCCTTATGTTCCAGCCTTCACCCATTGCCCCTTGTCTTATCATTGGACATCACTGAGAAGAGCCTGGCTCTGTCCTCCTGACACTCGCCCTTTACATATTTTTAAACACTGATGAGGTTGTCCCTCAGTTTTCTCTTCTCCAAGCTAAAGAGATCCATCTCTCTCAGCCTTTCCCCATAAGGGAGATGTTCCTTAGTCATCTTTGTGGCTCTGTGCTGGACTCTTTCAAGCAGTTCCCCGTCCTTCTTGAACTGAGGGGCCCAGAACTGGGCACAATATTCCAGATGTGGCTTCACCAATGCAGAATAGAGGGAGAGGAGAACCTCCCTTGAGCTACTAACCACACCTGTTCTAATGCACCCCAGGATGCCATTGGCCTTCTTGGCTACAAGGGCACATTGCTGGCTCATGGTCATCCTCCTGTCCACCAGGACCCCCAGGTCCCTTTCTCCTACACTGCTCTCCAGCAGGTCAGCCCCCAACCTGTACTGGTACATGGGGTTGTTCTTCCCCAGATGCAAGACTCTACACTTTCATCAAATTCCTCCCCGCTCATCTCTCCAGCCTGTCCAGGTCTTGCTGAATGGCAGCATAGTCTTCTGGTGTGTCAGGCACTCCTTCCAGTTTAGTGTCATCAGCAAGCTTGCTGAGGGTACATTCTGTTTTCTCATCCAGGTCGTTGATGAAAATATTGAATGGCACTGACTGACCAGTCTGTAGTTACTTGGGTTCTTGTCCTTGCCCTTTTTGGAGACTGGAATGACATCTGCTTTCCTCCAGTCCTCAGGCACCTCTCCTGTTACCCATGACTTACCAAAGATGATGGAGAGTGGCCTATCAATGACTTCTGCCAACTCTCTCAGCAGCTGTGGATGCATCCCATCAGGACTTACAGATTCATGGATGTCTAGATTGCTTACCTGATCCCTAACCCAGTCCTCATCAAGCAAGGCAAATGCCTCCTTCATCCTGACTTTGGGGCTCCTGAGCACAGTCTCCAGAAGTATAGACAGAGACAAGGAAAGGCATTCAGCAGCTCTGCCCTCTTTGTATCCTCTGTCACCAGGGCATCCACTTCATTCAGCAGTGAGCCTATATTTATATTGCCTTTGTCTGCAATGTATTTGAAGAAGCCCATTCTGTTGTCCTTGGCTTCTCTTGCAAGGTTTAGTTCCAAGGAGGCTTTAGCTTTCTTAGTTGTCTCCCCACATCCTCTGACAGCAGTCTTATATTCCTCCCAAGAGGCCAGACCTTCCTTCCATGATCTCTTCTTCCACTTGAGTTTGCCCAGTAGCTCTCTCTTTAACCATGAGGGTCTCCTGGCTCTCTTTCTTGATTTTCTACCCATTGGGATGGTCTGATCTTGAGCTTGGAAGAAGTGGTCCTTGAATGTTAGTGAACTGTCTTGGGCCCCTTTACCTTCTAGTACCGTGTCCCATTGGATTTCCCCTAGCAATTGCTTGCAAAGGCCAAAGTTGGCCCTGCTGAATTTGTGCATCCTTGCAGGGAGCTTTTTGGGGCTGTCTGTGACTAAGTACAGGAGGATTAATGTACAACAAACTCACCAACCAGGGCTAGGGTTTGGGCATTTCTTGCTTCCATCTCTCTTTCAGTACCCCAAACAACAGGGACCTCTTCATTGCTGTACCTGAGGAGCAAATAATAGCAATTTTATCTATTTCTACCTGTCCACACAGAACGTATGTGTGTGAAGGAAATGCCCTGTGCTGTGTGGGTGCCCAGGGTCTGCTTCCTTTTCAGACAAACTAAACATTTACACCCCAGATTTTATTTAGATCTTCACCAAAGAACTAAATTAACACTTATTTCTGTTCTTCTCATGGACAGCTCTCAGTAAAAGTGTTGGCAAGATTTAAATTTTAGGAGTATAAAAGGAACAATTTTGAATGTAGTAGTTTCATTTTTAAAAAAAAAAAAAAAGAGTTGCTGAGGGTGGTGGGTTACAATTAAAGGCACCCAGGAAGTGACAGTGTTATGGATATCCATGCTTTCCATTCCTTGTCAGCTTCACTGAGGGTGGTATGGAATCTTGTGATCAAAATGAGAGGCTGTAATGGAGTTCCACTGTAAAGCAGAGTCTTTTAGTGTGTGTTTGCAGTGTAGCTTTTCCTTCTCAATTACATTTACATTGATAGCAAAAGTTTACGACCTGGTTAGTATGGATTCTCTGTTTCAGAGCTGTCATGCCTGTTTAACTCTGAAAGCAGCAAAATTGTGCTTAGAGCTAATGTAGTAGTGTGAAAGAGCATACACTGTCAAAGATGGCAGGAGCAGGTATTTTTCCTGTCTTCCAGAGCTATAATGCAAGAGGTTTGAATGTATGTCGTAAAACATGCTAATTCAAGAAGGCAAGAGGATGAGTAATACAGGAAAGTTAATGTAATTGCTTTCTTGAATGGGGAGGGGAAAACATTTTGTGGGAATTTCATAATCTCTGACAAGTCCTGGCTGTGAAGTAGAAATTTCAAACATTGAAGTAAGTTAATTTGTCTTGATAATTTAGTGTTTGTTTACACCGACCATAACAGGGTTTCTGCTCAATTGGGTCTGCTGTTACTCGTGGAAAAGAAACCTGAATTGTGTGGCCTAAAATCAGAGGTGACTTACACAGTGATACAGTATTCACACTTAACAGGCTTTAGAGGTGATCAAAGCATACAGTGAACAAAAGTGTGTTCAAAAAAAGAAACAAGGTGGCATAGAAGTATCCCCAGGGTGATTATATGTTTACAGAACCATTTGGGCTATTATATCTAATATACTGTCTTTAGAGCAGTGCCTTGATAATTACTGCTGAAGTCCTAGGACCAAGTTGAAGACCACTAAGCTGCTCAGTCTTGCTGTCTGTGATCCTACTATGATCAGCATAACCTTGGTAACATCTGTAATATTAAAAGACGTGTGTTGGCAGGATTTGGGCTACTGAGTCATTTTAGTGGGCTTGGGCTTGACCAAGACCAAGGATTTTAAAAACTGAAATTGATCCTTCTTGATTCTACTGGGGAATTATGATTTACTTCCTCTCCAGAAATGATGCTTATTACTAAACTGTATTCTCTTATTCTCTCTGTTACATTTTCAGAAATCTTTGGTATGGAGGTTTGAAATGAATGTATTTTGAATTATGTTGCAGTTCATTCTGTCAAAGCATGCTGCTTACACAAGTCTCATTTGTACAAATCTATTGCTAAAAGATTCTTTTGTACTCAAAGTT